GAGGACTAATTGTTTTAATATCTATGAACCTCAGTTTCTTCATCTACAAGATGAAGATAAGAATGACTTCTACCTTGGGGTACCTGGGTAGCTCAATTAATCATCCCACTCGATTTTAGCTCAGGTCACGATCTCAGGGTCCTGGGATCGAGCCCCACGTCAGGCTCCATGCTAAATGGGTAGTCTGCTTGAGATTCTCTCTCCCCCTCCTTCTGCCCCTCCCCTCTTTCTTACCTTCTCCTTCCACCACCTTCCCCGTCAAATAAATAAATCTTAAAAAAAAAAAAAGAAAGAAAGAAAGAAAAAGAAAAAAAGAATGACTTCCTCCTAAGTTTCTTGGGAGAATCAAGTAAGAAAATCTTGTAAAACTTTTAGTGTGGGATTTAGCACAAGTAAAAAATAAATAGTGGCCATTATTACCATCATCTTATCATCTTATTTTTATCACAACTCCTAAATACAGAACTCTATATGGAAAGGACTAGCTTGAAATGAGAGTGAGTATATCTTTGAAGTTATGTTGACATATCTTTTTTATAAAACAGGAAACACTTCAATGGGTCTTGGTAAAGAATGTGGGTCAGATGAAGATTCTGGGAAGGCTGAAGCTTTCTCTCCCTACCCCAGGCTTTGTCTCTGAGCATTAACCCACCACTATTCCAATCCACCTCTTCACCTGTTCACTAATTCACTTCTTCTCTGCAAAAGCAGTTTTCTGAGGGTGAAAGTGGGAATTGTAGCACTCTTCTAGCCTAATCAATTGTCTTTTTAAATGTTTAATAAAAGAAGGTGAGTGTGTGTGTAGAAGAACAATGACAAGAAGGAAAACTGGTCAGAGCTCAACCAGGGGGAAGGATTAGCCCACCAGAGACAACGATTCTGAAATGCTGTTGTTGGGATTCACTACATCTGCTCTGTTCTGGAAACTTGAGGAAAAAATGCCAATTTTCTGATTCTACCCCAGATCTACTGATGGACTAGAGAGCTCTCTCCAGCAACTCCCATGCTCATTCAGGTCTGACAGGCCTTTTACTAGCCCTTTGACTGTTGTCTCTCCCTATGAGAGTTTACTCCCAGTAGACATTTCAACAATGCCTCCGACTCTATTCTCTACTCCAAGCAACATGATTATAATGTGGCTTCTCATGTAAGTCAAAGGTTTCAGTTCTTTAGAGCCCACGTCTGCTTCTGCTTTGGCATTCTTAACTCTTTTCCTCATCATCATGGTCTAGATTCTCCTCTCACTCCAGACTCCATCCTTTAATGAATTCATCTGTCACCTTGGTTCACGTAGGAGCCAGTCTGTGGCTGCCCCAGTGTGTCAGCCTTCACTACTGAACTCTGGACTTAGTATCCAAGAGGCATATTGATACTTCCTCTCAGGGTTTCTACGGAAACCTCAAGCTACATTTGCAAAACAAAACACGCTAGATCCCTCCATAAACTGACTCCTCCTTCTGTAATCCCTGTTCAATAAAGAAATGGTTTCTACCATTTGGCAAGTACCAACCACTTGCCCAAGTTAGAAACCTGAGAAAAATCTTTGACCACTGTCTCCCCCTACACAGTGGACAATTAATGAAACCTACTGATTTTTTTTCTCCCACATGAGTCCCAAGTTACTCACATTTTTATTTCTAATCTTGGGGCCATGATTGTAGTCACAATTATATCTCTGGCTCCCAGGCTCCCATCTTTCAGTTCAGTTCCTTCCACTTATTCCATTCTCCATATTGAAGCAAGAGAACATTTTTAAAATATAAATTTGATCATGTCACTTCCCACTACCCTCAGAATAAAGTTTAAAGCTCTTAATAGCACATGACATCTTTCACGATCCAGTGACGCCTTCTCTCTCCAGCTCAATGACTTGAAACACCTCTTCATAGTTTTCGCAGTAGCCATACCTAGATTCTTGCAATTCTTCAAGTGGACCATTCCCTCTCTTGTCCCACGCACATGCTGTTCCGTCTACCTTCCTCCCACCCCATGCAGAACGTAGGGGTTAACGTTTACTTACTGGCACTTTAAGAAGGCTATCCCAGACAAAGGGGTTTACTGGTGAACTCACCTGATAACTGGGTTTCTTTTAGCCTGTTTTCCCAGGATGACCCATTAATGGTAGAAGCATTACACAGAGGCTTCCTGACACCTTAGTTCTAGTGCATAATATACCAAAAAATCATTTTGCAAAACTGTGAAATCACTTAGCTTTTCCGGGTCTCATTTTCCTTTTATCCTTGACATTCCATTACAAGATTACTGGGTTAATCCAAAAAAGTCAAGGCTATGAGAATGACCTACTTATTGAAAATATGGAAACTGCATGGCATCACTTATCCAATCTCACTTTTGTTCTACTCTCACCTCTCCGCTAACCGGAGAAACTCCGCCTTTTAGTTTGCCTCCCTTTTCCCTCACCTCCTCCACTAATTTGTATTCTCTGTTAGGACCAGGCTTCGACTTGATATTTTCCAGGATGTTTTTTCCAAACCCCCAAAGCTGGGCCAAGAATCCTACCTATAAGGTCCCACAATACTTTCTTTTTCTCCAGAAAAACTTAGCAACTCTATTGTCATTTTTTTTCTCTATTGTCATTTTGATCTACTTTTTTGCCTCTTCCCTCAGAGAGTGAACTCTGTTCACTCACTGTTAAGTATCTATTTGTGCCTGAGCGATATTCTTCTGCAATCTGAAGGACAGACCCTGCAGGAAGTGTTCTATTTGGGAGGCTGTTCTTAGCATAACAATGCACTGGCTATCAATTGGCATTTCAAAGTTTCACAGACTTTCTCACTATTTTTTAAAAAGATTTTATTTATTTATTTGACAGAGAGAGAGAGAGATCACAAGTAGGCAGAGAGGCAGGCAGAGGGGTTGGGGGAAGCAGGCTCCTTGCAGAGCAGGGGGCCCGATGTGGGGCTCTATCCCAGGACCCTGGGATCATGGCCTGAGCTGAAGGCTGAGGCTTAACCCACTGAGCCACCCAGGTACCCAACTTTTTCACTATTATATCTTCTTTAATTTTCATGCAGAAAGGTTGTTTGTTTTTTTTAATTCAGTGATGTACACATTTCTTTTTTTCTGATTTGACTATGGATCTGAAGAGGAATTGATTTTCCCAAGACCTTTCTTGTAGGAGCTATGTTTAGATAGGCTCCTATTTTCCTATTTTCAAATGCAGATTTCCATGCATGTGTACGGCCAGTCTCAATAAATGAGCTACATAAATAAATACATATGTAATTAATGGATAATCAAAATATAGGTAATTGAGGGCTTCTTTGTGGATATAAGTGCATGCCCATTTTTATTTAAAAAACCATTTTTGAAAAAATCTTCTGAGATGAAAACTGTTAAAATAAGGATTTCATCTTCTAAGTGTAGTTCTGGACATAGTATTTCAATTAACATATGTTTCCTCAATTAGCTTTTGTCCAAGACTGTCATATCCTAATAAGTGATGCAGAGGTTCTGATCTTCTTTTTCTTTTTTTTTTTTTTTTAAGATTTTATTAATTTACTTGACAGAGAGAGAGAGAGATCACAAGTAACCAGAGAGAGAGTGGGGAAGTAGGCTCCCCGCTGAGCAGAGAGCCCGATGTGGGCCTTGATCTCAGGACTCTGAGGTCATGACCTGAGCTGAAGGCAGACGCTTAACCCACTGAGCCATCCAGGCGCCCAGGTTCTGATCTTCTCAAAGATAAATGGGCAGTGGGTGCCACAGGAGGAAAAGGATGTGTCTTTCTCTGTCTTTCAAATAAATAAATAAAATCTTAAAAAAAAAAAAGATTTCATTTATTCACTTGACAGAGATCACAAGTAGGCAGAGAGGCAGGCAGAGAGAGAGGAAGGGGAAGCAGGCTCGCTCCCCACTGAGCAGAGAGCCCAATGCGGGCCTCGATCCCAGGACCCTGAGACCATGACCTGAGCCGAAGGCAGAGGCCCTAACCCACTGAGCCACCCAGGTGCCCCAGAATCATTTTTAAATAGTGCTTTAGTGTTGTGTCCTTTATAAGGGTGCATGGTGAATGCGACTGTGAAATTTAATTTTTTAAAAATGAAGCTGCTATTGTGCTTATTTACCTTTCTAAAGTGGGATTGTCTGATCTTTCAATTAAAATTCTTCACAAATACTGAAATCCCATGGAAGGTAGGACTGACTGTTAGCCCTGACAGCTTGGTCCCTTCTTTATGGGTTTGGGAATATGCACGTATGTTTATGTTTTGTTTCCTCTGAACTTTCCAATAGAACTTCCTGGGAATTGAGTCTCTCCACCTGGAATATCAAATTCTACTGTCCTCATCTCCAGTGATGGTTTGCAATGCAAATTGTCGGGTTGGTTACACACAGTACCATAACCATGGTAACCAAATGAAGACAAGTTTGCCTTACTTCCTCAGTGAAGTACTTTCCAGCCCTGCATTCAGACCTGATGTTACTGCCAACAGTCAAGGGCTTTAAAGGAACAGCCCGAGGGTTCAGAGAAATAAAAACACAACTGGAGCCATTGTATTCCTTCCCCCACACTCCTCCCCTGAGTCCAGGACTTGCTACCAATCTCTCCTGCCATTTCTAACTATTTTCAGCTTTCTTGGAGGGGAGACTAGAGAGAATTCCTCTGTATCTTTATCCCCAGCTTGACTGTAGATTTGGGCAAACCCACTGCCCTGGCTTTCCATGTCTAGCTCCTAAACAGGAGCAGATAGAAACCTACTTCTGTGTTCACAAGGACTTTTTAGTGTTAGCAGCTGTGATGCTCAAGGAGACAGGAAGGCGTCCAAATAGAAGCAGACACTTTCTGAGAACAACCACAGCAAGTTGCAAGGGCCACTTCTCTGCCAAAATTCCTTTCTTCTGGTAGAGTCATTCTTACCATTTGTTTGTTTCCAGCCTGTGGGGGAAGGGTCTCAGTCCTCTGTTCTCATTTTCTGTCTGTTGGAATGGGAGGGCAGCTATGGTATGATCTGAACCTTCTGTACCCGCAGCAGTGTGACCCGGTGATGCCCAGGAAGAAAGACTGTAAGCAATAAGGTAAGCGATCTAATTGCATGGATTCTGGCCTGGATGATTTCCGCACTCCCATGACTACCTGGGTGGCTGCCATTAACACAGAAAGGTAAAAAATACAGAGGATGGGAATGCTCTAGGCTCAAAATTCTTAGTTTACTTCCCTTTGGTTGTGAATACCATGTCAAGCAATGTTTCTGAGGTAAGAGGAAGAAGTTATTTTTACTTTCTATTGTAACTAGTGGGACTCGTGTGTCATTTTCTCTGGTACTTATTACCACGATTTGGTTCAGAGGATGATTTTCTAACTCTGTCATTCCTTCTATCATTATTTGTTGGGATTCTCTAAGAATAGCTTTCTCATCTCCCCACAGGTCTGCCTCCTTTAGATATTAGTACACATTATCTGAGCTCTCCAGGAGGTTTCCCTAATTAATATTTCCACAATGATGAGTGTCAATTTCCTATCTTCTAGGAAGATAGGAGATAAGATAGGAGATAAGATTTCTGAGAATCTAATATGGTAACCTATTGTCTTTTTAGTCTTCATTTCCTTGAATATTTATAAGCTTCACTACATTTACATTCTTCAGCCCTTTGTACATGCTCCCCCCATTTTAACTAGGCTTCGTGCCCAACGTGGGGCTTGAACTCACAACCCTAAGACAGAGACCTGAGCTGAAGTCAGAAGTTGAACACTTAACTGAATGAGCCACCCAGGTGCCCTGATTTCCTACTTTTGAATTGCCTCATTACATTGTTTCTACTTCTATGTGTCTTCATTTTATTGATTAATAATCGCATGTCGTACATCAAGGATAAAAACGCCTTTCATGTCACGTATACTGTCAACATTTTTATAGATCTTTTAGCATTTTGACATTTTTATTATTTTTGCCATAGGAAATTTTTAAACTCTTAACTGGTTAAATCCATTGCAATTTTCCTTCATTGCCTTTGGTGTCATTTCACCATAAGCTTTCACCACCTCAAGATTAGAAAAACATTTACCAATATTTTCTTTGAGGCCTATTTTCATTTCATTTTTTTCACATTAAATCCTTAACACTGTTGGAACTCATTTTGATGAATTGTTGTAGGGGTCTTTTGTTTGTTTTGCTTTGTATTTTTTCCATTAAATCCTAAATTCAGAAATAACTATAAATTCACACACAGTTCTAAAAATAATAAGAAGTTTACCTGCCTTAATTCAGGAATCCTTCCAACAATGCATAGGTAACCTATTTCTGCATATATAGATTTCTATCTGGGATAGGATTTGTCTTCTCAACATACTTAACAGCTATAAAGTTGTAATATCAGGACAGTTTCTCATAATCACTTATAAGGAATAATATCTACTTTCTTCTCTATGTTCCCTGAGATTTTTATGATTATGATCATGGTGGGAAAGCAAAGATGATGACATCTTTGATGTCAGAGGAGTAAAGAATATGTTAGAATATGCCTTTGTGAATAATCCAGGTTGGAAAGAGGATTTAGACCCAGGGGCTAGCTTAAATCTTGTTCTCTTCTCTTCACTGCTAGCTATGTCTGTGTGTTCTTGGATGGAACACATTCTCATTGTAGTCAAGAATTTAACCATTATGACGGTTTCCTATTAGACTGAAATATGATGCAATTTTTATTGTGTAACAGTATGTTTTGAAACTTGAGATGTGCACACCTGAAAATCTTTTTAAATTATATTTTAAAGACTTTATTTATTTGAGACAGAGTGAGAGAGAGAGCATGGCGAAGTGGGGGGTGGGGTAGGTCAGAGGAAGAAGCAGACTTCCCGCTGAGCAGGGAGCCCAATGCAGAGCTCGATCCCAGAACACCTGGATGGTGACCTGAGCCAAAGGCAGATGCTTAATCCCCTGAGCCACCCAGGTGCCTTGTACACCCTGAAAATCTTAAAGCAAATTGATCAGTTATTTTTTAAAGGTATTAGGAAAAGTGTATAGAAGGAAGGTATTATATAGTCCAATTAAGAGTATTTTTAAGAGAAATAGCCATCTGCATTGGTTGGTCAGATTCTCCAGAGAAGTGAGCTAATATATATATATATATATATATATGTCATATTAAAATAATTCCATATATTTAATTAGAGAGAGAGGGAGTAAGGAATTTATATCTATCATCTGTCTATCCATCTACCTACCTATTGTTGCTCACACAATTGTAGAGCCTGAGAAGTTCTATGACCTTCCATGTGCAAGCTGGAGACCCAGAAAAGCCAGTGGTGTAGTCCAGTCTGAGTGTGAAGCTTGAGAGCCAGGAGCATCAATGGTGTAAACCCCAGTTCTATAGCATGAGGATTCTGATGTCCCAGCTCAACAGTCAGGCAGAGAGAAGGAAAAATTTCTTTCCACCTTTTTCTTCTTTTCAGGCCTCAACAGATTGAATAATTCCTGTCCACACTGGGGATAACAATCTGCTTTACTCAGTCTTCTGATTTAAGTGCTAATTGTTCTGGAAGCACCCTCATAGACACACCCAGAAATCATGACTAGACAGATATCTGGGCATCCCCAGCCCAGTCAAGTAGACACAAAATATTAATCATTGCTCTATCAGATAAGATGACTTGTGATTTCAGTAAGCTAACATTGAAGAACAGCTGTTTAATTGTTGCAAATCCACTGCTGAATAGCCCTTTGGTGAAATTTATGCTATAATTGTTCACATGCATTTTAATCCCCCTGTCTGGAATGTTTGCCTATCCATTACCCATCTTCAAGAGCCAGAGTCAATACTTCCCCTTCAAAGGAACCTTTTTTATGTCCCTAAATGAGCATTTTCCTCCTTTAATATTTGAGAATAGTTGTTTTATACTTCTCTTAAAATGCATATTATATTCTACTTCACAATATAGTTAATAAGTACTATTTTTTATAAAGGACTGTAAGCTCCTCAAAGTTTCTTTGTATACCATAGACAGTAAGATGTTTCATTGAATTAGTAGATATACTAATATCTAATATGAATTATTGCATTTATGTAATAGTTCATGCATACAATGCATTTTTATGAGGAATGACAAGTGCACATTACTGTCTCTGATATGACAGAGACTGTGAAGGTAAGTCATAATTCTCACCTCCTGAGAACAAAAACAAGAGTCCAGTATCAGAAAAATCATTCATTTATTAACAGTCATGTCTGATCCCCCATTATTACTCATGGTCTAGGCTAAGTGCCAAGGATAAAAAAAAAAAAACAAAAGTCTCGGTCCTTGTCTCCAGGGGGTCCATTTAGTTGAGTGGGAAGGGCAGAAGTGTAAATAAACTGAGTGTGAAAAGTGCTTTCATAAGGAGTTGTGCAGGTTGCTGGGAGTGCCAGAAGAGGGCTAGGATGAGAGTGGAGAGTGATAAGGAAAGAAAGTTCTACGGAATGAGTTCTATCTGAACTCAGTGGAATGGTATCCAGGAAAGAGGGAAAAGCAGCACCAGCAGAGGGATCTGCACCCCGTAGCAGCAGAGAGGAGGGCACGCTGAAAACAACAAACAGGTCTGCGCATCCAGAATAGGATGTACACGAAGGAACCTGGATGGTGATGTTACAGGAATGGAAGATAGCCCCACCACCTTTCATTCTCCTTCCCCAGGATGAGGCAAGGCAAATATGGAGAAGACAAGAGTAGGAATAACGAAAAAAGAAAGAATCATTGAGAAGAAAAAAAATCTCCTTGAAGTTGGAAAGGGATTGGAACAGGGCTCGCAGTAGGTGAATCTGTTGATTCAGTGTTCCCAGCCTCAAAGGCATTTCACGTTTCTAGGAAGCTGTATATATGGTTCTTGACTGTCATCTTAATACTCTTTTGCTTATTTCACCAGCAAAAGATGAAAACTCCGAGTCTGAGAGAACTGATTCTGGATTCCAACTTGGGTGCAACTGCCTTGTCTTTAAATCTAGCTTGCTCCTAAATGGCAGGAGAGAGCACCCTTCACATATTTCACAGTGGGAGGAAGCCACCCACGGAGCAAATCATCACAGACTGCGTGTTCCTCCTAGCAGAGTGTTGACAGAACACACTATTCTCTAGGCTCTGCTTCTACTTCACTGAATCACTTGCAAATCTTTACCCATATTTATGGGACTTTGATACTTGGACAGGGAGGAAGAGCAGCAGGGCATTCCTGGCCTGGCTTTATTGCTCGAGTTTTTGAGTTGTCTCCTAAGTAATAGGAACAGTGTTTTACTCTTATCCCTTGTATAGTTTTGATGGCCATACCTTTAAAATATTTTTATGTATTTATTTATTTATTTATTTATAAAGATTTTATTTATTTATTTAACAGAGAGAGAGAGATCACAAGTAGGCAGAGAGGCAGGCAAGAGAGAGAGGGGGAAGTAGGCTCCCTGCTGTGCAGAGAGCCCAATGCAGGGCTCCATCCCAGGACCCTGAGATCATGACCTGAGCCAAAGGCAGAGGCTTACCTCACTGAGCTCCCCAGGCGCCCCTAAAATATTTTTTAAATGTGAGCTCCATTGGTCAACAAATAGGTTATGTGGAGGCTAGAAATAGAATAATCATCTTATGGAATCATCTCATTTCATCCATTTTTCTTATGTCATGCAAGAAGAAATTACATTCCATGACAACTTGAAACCACATACCCAATGTCATGCAACCAATGAACTGTTTGTTGATTAATTAAAATAAATTACCTTTTGTTTCCCTGGTGATGAGTTAAGATCTTTCATCTGCTGTTAGCTTGTGGAAGGCACATAAGAAGGTATTTACTCAGATAATCTTGGTTGAAATAGTGGAAGTGGACCTCAAGTGATAGTCCAGAAAATTTTGCTTCAAAGTGGAGGTAGTATATATATTTATATAGTGAATATATATTGAAATATATGTGCATGTATGTGTGCAAATATATATGTATCTGTATAATAATCTGATCATTTGGGGATGCCTGGGTGGCTCAGTTGGTTAAGCGGCTGCCTTCGGCTCAGGTCATGATCTCAGGGTCCTGGGATCGAGTCCCACATCGGGCTCCTTGCTCCGCAGG